TCTATAACTAATCGTAGCTTATTATTTTTCTTTAGTACGAATATAATAAGGTATCTTACTTCCGAAATAAATAATCGAATATAGCCTTTTTCGAGTATTTCGTTAATATATTCTCGTAATACTTTAAGTTATTCTCCGTTAAGGTTATAGAGTCTTTAGTACTTAGTTAAAGTACCGGTTTTAAGATAGATTTCGTAGTCCTATCGGCTATATAATAGTAGTCTTATTTCTAAGGTTTCCTTAAATAATAAGTAATATTTCCTATACTCTTATAGTATATTTTTTAGTTATTCTTCTTCTATAATAAGTTTTATTTTTCTTTCTTTTTAAAGGGCTTAATTCGCTTCGAATAATTTTTATATAATATTAACGATAATTCGTTTTCTTTATTTATATCGTATACCTAGTTATAAAGCCTTCTCGGTTAATACTATAGTCTTTACTTACTTCGACTCGCTTATGCCTTTCTATAAGGTTTCTTTAGAGGCTAAGTCGTCGTGAATATTCGCTTTATTCTAGTTAAATAATAATTATCGCGTTATCGTGTCTATCCACGCTAACTAGCTATTACGCTAATCGACTATTAAATTACTTCTCTATAACTATAAGTAACCTAGTATTATATCGTAATTATATAAGTCTATAATATCGAAGACGATTATCTTATAGTATCCTTATATTAAGGCCTTAAGATAATCGGTCTTACGGTCGATAGTCTTACTATTATAATCGAAACTTCCTCCTTTAATATTATAAAGCTTATATATCACTTTCTTATAATTCTATAGTAATATATATTAGTTAACTACTACTAGTAAGATATATTTTCCTATCGATCTACTATTTAATAGTACTCGTAATCGATATCTATTAATCTAGACTTCTAAAACCGTCTTTTATTTTCCGCTTATTTCCACGGAGTAAAGAGTCTTTAGGTTTCCTTTATTATCTTATACCCTTTTTATAGGCGATATTAGTAGTTTTTTAACGGGTAGTATTCTATATTAGTATTATTATCCTTAGAGTTATAGTCGTTATACGACTCTACTAGTATAGAGGGGTCCTTATCTTCCTCCTCGTATAAATAGTGTGCGTACCTATAGTAATAGACTCCGTAGTCTAGCGTATATCCTTTATAATATCTATATACTATATATTACGTATATGCTTTTCCGTTCGGAACTTGGTATTCCCTTGCCTTTATTCTATAGCATAGGTGTAGTATTTCCTTAGCTCTTTTATATCGTTCGCGGTCTATTTCGCCTTTAAAGATATAATTTCGGTCTAATTCTTTAACTAAATCGTATAGTAGTTATATACCTTCGGGGTATTTATTATATCCCTTATATATATAACCGTACTTTAGTACGCACTCTTTTTATACTAGGAATTCTTTTATAAGGTTTCCCTCCCTCTAGTACCTTACCTTTACTATAATAGCCTCTTTTTTAATAAGCTTAAGACCGAGTAATACCTTTACTATATTCTCGTGTCGTTAGAGTTCTTCTATTTCTTTTTACTCTCTAGTTCGATACTAATTAAATACCTTTTCTTTAATATACTTAGGGCAGTCTATCGATAGGTATTTACTCTATATCTTTTAGTTTCGTATATATACTTCGGGGTACTTAGCCGATTGCCTTAGTACTATATATCTTATATTAAGTTCTATATATATATATTCGTAGAATTCGGCTTTATTTTTTTTATAAGGGTCGTCGATAGCGCGGATATCTAATCCCTTTATCGGGTAGACCTAGTATTTCCTCTTCTTAGTTATATAGATTTTATAAAAGTAATATATATATAAGATCTATAATAACTCGTAATATTTTTCTACGTTAGGGTTTATCCTTAGGTCGTCTCTTAATAATATCTTTCGATCCTATTTTAGACTATTTTCTCTAAGTATCGTTTATACGTAAATAACTATCTAAAGGTCCTCTCCTCTTAGTAAAGGATCGTACCGGTCGTTAGCGGCGAAGAGCTAGTCTTATAGCGTAGCTCGCCTATATAAGAGATTTATTTCGAGTATCCTCTTTTCCTATAAGATTTGTTCTTCGCTATCTATAGAGTTAGTATCTAACGATTCTTCGTCTAGGTTATCTAGCGATTCGTCTATAATACCCGGGTATTATATTAGTCCCGTAGTAACCTTACGTATTATAGCTAAAACGCGAGATTAATATAATACCTTAGGGAACTACCCTAAGTTTTCCTTTCTATCTCGGTAGGTCTAGTAACTATCGTTATAGCAAGCCATCTAATAGAGTTCCTCGTGAGTTAGCGCTTTAGCTAGCTTTCGTTAGATAGCGGAGAGGTAGTCCTTATACTCTTATTCTTTATCCTTAATAATATCGTATTATATATTTATTATAATTTTATATCCAGCCCTAGTTATATTTAGTTACTTCGCCTTACCTTTAGGTACTAGCTTCTAGTCCTACTTTCGTTCTTTCTTTAAGGAATAATATTCGCGTATAAAGTATCCTTTCTTACTATAACTATAGTAAGTAAGGTTCTTTTTCTCGATCGCCGCGAGTTTTCGTTATATAGCGTCTAAGTCTATAGGACCCGCGTGAGTTCTTCCGTAAGCTATACTTAGGTAGAACTAGGGTCTTCCTATATTAGGATAGATCTTATTTTTATTATTACGATCGCGGTTCGAGGAGTTAGTAAAGTACTATCCCCTTTTCTACTATTGCCTTTCGAATTATTAGTTATCGATCTTAATTACTATCGTAATATACATAGCGAGGGCGGTAGGTCGGTCCTCCTTATAGAGTTCGTCCTTAACCTCGTCCTTAAGGCCCCTATAATAGGCTACTATTTTATCTCCCTCGCTCTTTATAGTTCTAGATATAACTTAGATAAATAGAGCGCTATAGTCCGAAGCTAATCCTTTTTACTTTAACGCCTCTAGCTAGTTCTCGGCTAGGCGTTCTTTATTAATAGTCCCGAAGGTTATTTTTAATATTTCTTTAAAGTTATAGTAGTATACGAAGATATCCTTTATATCTTACCTTCGGTATTAATAAATATAAGTTATAAAATCCTAAAGCGTGGGCTCGAACTAAGCTAGTACGGCTCCCGATAGATATCCCGCTATATAGCGTACCTTATCCTCTTCCGTCCTTAAGATAGAGGGAAAGTATTATTAATAGGCTCTAACCTAAGTTAGGAATCCTTAAAGGTCCTTAGTTATACTATCGAATAGTCCTAGTTAGCGTGGCTTTATAATCTCTCCTAGGTCCTTACCGGTAACTTAGCGAATAATATTATTATTTACGCTATTTATTTTATTTCTTAACTATATATTTTATTCCCGTTATAAGGCTATTCTTTCGTTAAAGTTACGATACGCTTTATCGTATTACTTTTTATCGTGAGTCTATGTATCGGCGACTTATTATAATTATCCCCTAAGTTCTTAGATTTAGCCTCTAAGGATATCGGCTTCGTCCTCGGACTCGTCCGAGTTTATACTAATATCTTCCTCTAGCGGGGGTTAGATAGGTTCGGCGTGCTTACCCTTAGCCTTAGAGGATTCGCTAGCTATAGTATCGTATTACTTAAGTACTTAATACGGTAGTATACTAAATAAGAGCTATTAATATATAACGTTCGGGTCTAGACTAGCTACCGGGTAGATAGAATAAAAGTCGGGTTATAAACTAAGTATACTAGGATATCGTTAACTTAAGCGGTCGGGTTATAGTCTATATGCGAGATAGTAGATCTTACGTAGATAATTATATTAATAGCTAAGGAGCTAGTAGAGACTAACTATAATAAAGTTAGACTTCTTATATACTAGTAAATATTATATAGTCGACCGTAGTCGACTATCGTCTACGAGCGCCTCCATAGTATAGTCGACCGTAGTCGCCTGGCGGCTATAGTCGACTGCCATGCTTGGTGCGTGAATGACATGTGATAGGAGGAAAAAGTGGGGGGCACGTGAGAGGCGCATGCGGTCGTATGTCGGGTCGTAACAGGAAGATACCTATAATCAATAAAGTAATTACTTAAGGGTTATTAACTGATAAGGGAGTCTAGAATTGCTACTACTCTGATATACTAAAAGGTAGATCAAATAGGTAGAAAAGGGATGATTAATTCAAACGTCCTTAGGCAGTCGGTTAGCCTAAATAGGCATGGCGCGGCTGCTGCTCGGATCGTGTGCGCGTAGCTTGATTGGCTACGGCATTATCAATGACATGACCAGCACGAGACACCCACACACAGCGCAGATGTATCTTGGTTGAATGGCCACAACCTCCAAAGTGTATCAGTCGGTTTGGTATATTTAAACGCAAGGGACCGAGGAACGCATAAACTCTTCCGTGGGGCGAGATTCCAACTCTAAGGGGCTTCAAAGTGAGGGAATGAGGCCTGTATGAAAGCGACGAGGGGCGATGTGCGTGGCATGGGATAGTTCTGGACGCGACGGCGGTTTGGTTGAATTGGGGCTGTTTGGGTCAAGGTGAACTTGGTTATCAAAAAGCACCAGGTCTGTCACCAGCCACTGGGCCGTACGATACGAGTGCCAAATAGCCCAGCATACGGAGTACGGAGTAACGAGCTGGTATTATGGGAGCACAGCCACGCGGTTCTGTAGATCGAGACAGCCCCGGAGATCCACTCCATCAATATCTTGCCTCCGTCTAGGACCAAGACGGTTAGATACATCCGACTAGGAATGCTCGAGCCCCGACCTAAAGTCAGCCGCACGTACCTAAGTGGGAATAAGGGTTGGATATCTCTGTCTAGCAACCAATGAGGGGGCAAAGCTTGCATGGCATGGGCACCGGTCATGGCCGGTTCAGGTCGGCGATACCGGGACGATGGGTCTCGACTTGGGATGCCACATTCGCAATAGCTAATTCTGCGGGACCTGGAGAATCGATCGACTTGTTAAAGAGGGTGGCCATGCCCGTGAAAATTGCACCTCGGTTGTAATATTATTTCGCATACCGAGTATTTCCAGTTAATTCAAAATGCTCAGGTCCATGATACCGGGCTTGAGGACCGCGGCGCTGTTTCTAATATGCCAGCAAACATCCCTGGGCTTGGGACTCTTATCTGGGCGCCAATTGAGTTGTAAGTGATTGACCTCGAGTCGGCCCCCGTATTTAACCCCTAGGTCATTCGACGACTCACGCCTCGCCAGCTTTATGCTCGTGGACCGATGGGACGCTGAACATCACGACGTCCTCTGCTCTCGAAGACGTCTCGAGCTGCACCAAATTCAACGGCTCCCTGCGCATCATGGTCGATCAGGCCACGATTGACCTCGGGAGTATCGAGGAAATCACCGATCTGCTCTACATCCAACCCCTGCGCTCCCAAGTCGAGGTCACCGCCTCTAAGCTGCAAACGGTGAGCAGCGTGTACTTCTTAGGCAGCCCCGACGTTATCGCAAACGTCCGACTCGATATGCCCCAGCTCTCGGGCCAACTCTACTGGCTCGGCGTCGAAGTTAATCTCCAGGTCGATAGTGATCTTGAAGTTAACTTAGTCAGTGTCGACGACGCCTCGATCCCGTCAGTCAACCTCTCGGGCCTCACCGCCGTGGACCACACACTCTGGATCTCCAGGACCCCACGCCTGACCGACTTCGTGGCTCCCGACCTCGCTGCCTTTACGGTCGAGGGTGAGAGCTCACGATACCCCGTTATACACATCTACGAGAACCTCGTGCTATATAACGTCAGCTTCCCGAGTCTACAGACAGTGCCGGGCCGTATCACCCTCGAGGATAACCCGAGCCTCTCCGCCGTTGAGATCCCGGGCCTAGAGGAAGCTGGATGGTTTGAACTCGAGAATAACGAGTCTCTCGAGGATTTCACTGCCCCTGCTCTCACCCGAGTTGACGGTATCACTATGAAGGGGCAGTTCAGCAGCGTCAAGTTTCCCTCCCTAACAGATGTTGGCTCAAATTTCATCGTCAAGGGCAGTGCTGACCTGGACTGCTCCTGGCTCGACGAGAATATCAAGCCCATTGTCCAGGGCACGTATGAATGTGCTGCCGCGGACTCCGGGTCGGGCAGTCCCTCGTCAGGTGGAAGCAGCGTCAGCCCGAACCAGGACAGTCCCAGCGAAACGCCCCAGTCCGGGAGCTCCACGGGGGGGTCATCATCTGGGCTTAGCACCGGTGCAAAAGCTGGAATCGGGGCAGGAGTTGGCGCGGGCGCCCTGGCGATCGTGGTTTTACTGGGCTGGTTCTTCTGGCGTCGCAAGTGGGAGGCAAGGAGGGAGAATGGGATATCCGGCGGCGGCGGGTCTGGTGATGTCGGGACACCGGAGCTGGATGGTGGTCATGGAGTTGGGGATAAGGGCTCTGGCGGTAATCGGGAGAAGGGTCTTGGGTCTGCTGAGCTCGAGTCTCCTCGGAGTCAGCTAGCGGAGCTGGATGGTCCTCAGGGGCAGACCGTCTCGGAGCTGCCCGCCCACGATAGGTCGAGGGTTTATACTGAGTTGGAGTAGCCGTCTGTCCTTTTATAAGTCGTTTTGGCTCTGTTGATACATGCGCAATCGTGAGTTACATCGCATCAGCGGCATTCGTCTTTCGCATCATGAAAGGGACCACTTGATGTTGAAGCGACATACTCGTAACCCAAGTCCGCGTGGGCCGTTGAATAGATCCTGAGAGCCGCGGAGCACCTCGACTAGAGTGTTCTGTAGTACATGTAACTGTATATGCGCGCCTATAGTAGTGGAGAGTTCCTTGACACACCTCGACCGGGTCGTAAAAGACGCCCTCCCTAGCCTTAATTATATAGCCGAGGTAATTTACCTCCTTCATAGCGAACGCGTATTCCTTTAGGTTTAAGGATAATCTTATTACCTCGAGAGTCCTTAGTACTTACCGTACTTTCGTGAGGTAGTCGCTTTTTAACCCGCTCGAGTAGATTACGATATCGTTAACGTAGGCTATTACGAAGTCTTTAAGGAACTCGCGGAGTATAATATTAACCTGCCGTTAGAATATAGCGGGGGCGCCGCTTAGACTGAAGGGGTAGATAGTCTATTCGAATAACCTGTATCTAGTATAGAACGCAGTCTTCTCCTTACAACCGGGGGCTATCTTAATCTTATATAACGCGGCTATTATATTAAGCTTCGTAAACTACTTCGCTACGGCTAAGCTATAAAGTATCTCTAAAATTAATAAAAGCGAGCATCGGTCTTTTTTTATAATTATGTTTAAGGCTTAATAGTTATCGTAGAATTATAATCTATTACTTAGCTTCTTAATAAAGTGTACCGGGGCTAACGCGGGGAGCTACTAGCTTATATAAATCCCTTTTTAAATAAGTCTCTTAGTACCTTCTATAGTATTAGGAGTTCTTCCTTAGATATCTTATATAAATGTCCTTACGGAAGTAAAGCTCCGTTACCGTTACTATCTCGTACTAAGTATACTTCGTGGTCTATCCTTGGTTAATATAGAGGTAGTTCTATTGCGTAATTTAGCGAGAATAGTTTTACGAAGTCTTGTAGGATATTAGTTAGTATAAAGTCCCTAGGATCTACCGGCGTCTTTAGTACAAGCGCGTTTTCTATATCTTTTAAGGAGATTATACTAATAGCGGGATCTTTAGGTTTATATCGGTGTTCTTACCGGCATTACGTGGTAAAGACGCTCCTTGATACTAGCTTTATTACTTAAGAATAAGTCTTAGCTAAGACCCGGTATTATATAAATAAAGACCTCTTTTTCGAAGCTATAAATTTCTATTATTAATATAGCGACTTTATTATTTCTTCCTTATTTAATCTCCTTAGAGTATCCCCTTAAATAATAAGGATATTTTTTTATTAGCGGGAGGCTAAGTCTCGTTGTAAGGTTTTCGCTTATAATTATATAATAGTTATAGCTAGAGTATATTAAGGCGTTCGTAACGAGTATAGTATTTAATCGTATTTATATATTCGATAAAAAGCTATTTAATAGACTCTTAACCCTTTTTTAACGAGTAACCTTAGCTTTTATAAGCCCCGACGCCTATTTTTACATAGGGGTTATAATTTTCTCGCTATAGTATCTGGCTCTTCATCGTCTTTATTATTATTATAAGTCTTTTTTAAGACCTCGGCGGCCCTTAGAGATAAGTATTCTTATTTAATATAGCCCTTTTAGCTATAAGACTAGTATATAATAGGCTTCCGCGACCGACCTTCGGAGGTATAGCTACCTTATTATAATAGGCGGTTAACGACGCTTATTCGGATATTACTATCGCTATCCGTAGGAGTACTCGCGTGGTTCGCCTTAGGTACGGCCCTTATATAAGAGAATTATATCTTCGCCCCCTTATCGATATTCTCGAGCTTTTACGCAACCCCTTAATATAATCCACAAGCGAGTGCACTACCCAAGCGAGTGCACCACTTTCTACTAGAATATAAATAAAATATTCAATTAATTACTATAAAATTAACTAACTACTATAGCTATATCCGAATTAGAGATATCAGACCTTTCTATAATATTCTAATAAGTTCGTACGTTATAGCTAGTCCCGCCGTAATTATTATAGCATAGAAGCTTTATACGAGAGCTCCCTCCCCTCCCTCTACCTTAGCGCTCTTCCTTTATTATCTACTTATTTAGATCCTTCTAATCTACTAGATCTTATATATCTCGTATATTAAGTAATCCTTTAAGCTATACGCGTGTTTGTTTTACTCTTCGGCGCTTACTTAGTGCCTTATTAGCCTTACGAAGTATAGAGGTCTCTACCTCTAAGAGAGCCACCCGATATATAATAGCTATTACCCCCTTTATAAGTTAGTATAAGGTAGCTATTTTTAAGGTCGGAGAGCTATTCTAATAAGTAGAGATTCGATTCTTAATATACTTTAATTATAAGCTAGCCTCGTGCGTATTCTATGGCGTCTTCGGGACCTAAGGCTACCTGATCTTAGGGAGAGTTACCGGGGGCGTTAGTATTCGTAGCTATATATTAAGCTTTAAGAGAGCCCTCTAAGGGTCGTATAGTATAGGGCCGGCCCTTATAAAGCCTCCTTATATATTCTTCTTGGTTATAGAGGTAAAGTAAGCTATGCGGAAGGCGTAAAGGAACTCGAGCTTACTAATATATATAATATATATATATATTAGATCCTTAACTTACCGGCTATATGCTTACTTTAGTAAGCTAAAATAACTAATATCTAGCGGCTAAAGGATATAAGACGAATACATAGGCATATAGAGCGTGATAATATTATATTACTTATAATAGAGTTCGAATTCGGTCGAGTAATAGCTTTTATAGCCGTTAAGGATTAAGAGCCGATACCTACCCTTCGTATAAGGCGCTATATAATAATCGAAGTATTTAATCTAATCTAGACCGACCTCGTTAATAGTCTAGCTATTATCGGTTATTATAATACGCTAGTCGGCTAGAAGATTATACTCTTAGTACTAATTAGCGAGATAGTATTTTACGGCGAGGATAATAAACGGCGGGATAGCCTAACAAGCCGCGCTAACGCCTTAGATTATAGTTAACCACTCCCGATTATTAAGCTAGGCTAATTTAGCCCTTATATAGCTATCCGATATCGTAATAACTATACCTAAAAAGATTATACCTATTATAAAGCTAGTCTTATTAAAGTTATAGGTATCTTTATCTAGGATCCCGTGCTTAGCCTTTATATTTTATATTAAATTAAACTACTCGTTAATAAGTTTCGGATCTTTATATTTAGCCCTCTAGTAGTTATATCTATGAGACTAGCGAGTATAAAGCTCTAGCTAATATTTAATAAAGTAGTATACCTAGTTCTTCCTAATAAGTAGCGCGTCGCGTACGCGTAGTAGATAGTTAGCTATTTCTTTAATACCGCGTAATCTAGGAGGAAATAATAGCGTAGCTAGCTTAATAATATACTAAATAATAACCCTCTTTTCTAATTTAGTTAAATTTATTAAATCAGGTCTAGTATCGCGTCGGGCCGTACGACTAGCGCGTCGTCGCATAAGGGTTAAGATAACACCCCTAGTCCTTGACCACCCCTAGACCTTGACCACTAATACAGCATAACACAAGCCCGTTGAAGGCGTCAAACTCAACACAATAGTATCGCGATTATATTATTAGGGGATTTTTAGCTAGTCAAGCTGCCACTTATGACATAGGGAATTAAAATTATTTAATTAAGTTAATTAGGAAAGCCCGGCCGGCTTAAGTTACTGCGCAAGCCGCTTTTTAGTCTGGACAATCTATTCAATCCGTACGAACCGGCTATTAGGGCTATAGGTGACTTTAGCTCTTTTTTTAGGCCGTAGATTATTAATCTGATGCTTAAGGGATTGTATCGTGGCCTCGGCCTCGGCTAGCTTAGTGTTCTGCCCGTTAATACTACGGCTAATCTTCCGGAATAATAGCCGGCGTGTCGTACGGTCTATTAAAGGGGAAAGGAAGGGTCGAGCTAGCCTAGAAAGCTATCCTGAATGACGAGGTGTTTAGAAGAGCTCCTTAGGCTCCTTTTGAATATAGGTAGAAGCTGCTAGTGGCGCTATAGCTGCTATTATTATTAAATCGAGAGGTTAGGCTAGTAGCCGACTTATGAGAGGCTTGTTGCGATTAATTAGCCATAGCCCTATTGCTTTCTAGCTAGCTGTGATATTCTTGATCGTTAGGGCCCTACTACGGGCCTTTTTATACGCAGCGAGGAAGACTGCCTTACCGAGAGGCGTTATATCTAATAAGACACTGATCCTTGAGATCTCAGACCGATAGATCGTCTTTAGGGGGCTAAAGATAGCTAGGTCAAGGGGTTATAAGATATACGATATATGTGGCGGTAAGACGAGTAAGTAGATATTATTTAAATAATATATATACATAAATTTATTAGTTATATAGCTCCCGTGCCTATTAATAACGAGTAGCCTAGCCTCTGGCTAAGATAGCTATGTTCGAGGGATAAAGACCTCTTTAAGCTAATATAGCGTAAGGCTATTAGAGGTCCAGCCCTTAGTTAATACTAAGAAGCACCAGTCTTCTAGACCAAGCTCCTTATTAAACTATTAGGCTTGTACGCTCTTACCTTTAAAGATAACTACCGGAGGTAGCGCCCGGCTAGTCGCTAAGATATATTCGATTATTATAGTCTAATAACGTGATCTAGGCTGCTTTTTAAAGGCTATCTAGCTGGCTATAGAGCCAAGGACTAGCCCGTTGCTTCCTTAGCCTTCGAGGATCCCGTGTTCGTTGGTATTATATCGGTTCTCTAGTCGGATAGCTTAGATCGTTAGGAGGTCGAGAAGGTGGAAGAAGGACTAGATAGTCTTAGTAGTTGCTCTATTAATCCGGGCAGAATCCATACCTCTCCCTCGTACGGTCTTGATTTCCGGATTACGGCGTAGAAAGCCCTTAACCTAGCGTTTTCCGAGTTATTATATGTCGCCTTAAGTAGCCAGGATTCGAGTGGCAAAGTCTCGTAGTTATATATGCGATAGCGGG